GTGATGTCATTCCACGGTTTACTCAGCGGGTGCCCAATCCATCTCTGCTTTATTCTGTTTATTAGTTGAGCACCAGGTTCTTGATTAGTTTGTTCTCATAGTTTCTTGCTTCTAATTCTTTCTGACTGGTCGTCTGAAACCCAGTATGGGGCCAGCAAAGGTTGCAATTGATAAACTTATGTAGCCTGTTGGATAGGCTTTTTGTGACAGACGTGAAAAGCTTTTGACCCATATAAAAGAAAGGAAATCATATCAGAGTGACATAGTTCTTCCTTATCTTTCCAATCCCGTTACTGACATCGTCATCCGTTGGACAGCCTGTAGTTCAGACGATGTTTATCAGATAACTGAAGGGAGTAGCCTGTTTCAAATTTATTCGGTTGTTAGTGACTGGCACATGCTGTTGTTGTTGATGTTTGGTTATCTTCAACAACTCTGTTAAGTGACATTATATATAACTCGTCCGCGAAATCCTGATCTTCTAGAGTCTCCTTACCTATCCAATATATTCCTCTCTTCCCGCTCCCAACAGTACTCCGTATAATCCAGTCGACCGTAATTAAGAATGCAACGGATGTCAGAGAAAGGGATAAAGAAGATGTCAAAGTCAGCCAGAATCGGAAAGGCAAGATACCCCTGCATCAATCTGAAACCAGTTTGGAAATCCTCTGCACTCAGTCAGCATAGAGAACAAGATTCGCATTTCCTACACCAATGTCAAGTCGGTCCTCCTATACGGGTCAGAAACTTGGCGGACGCCTCACGAGAACGGTTTACGACATGTTACAAACTTTCGTCAACAGCTCCCCAGTCTGCCTCCAAACTGAAGATCAAATGGACAGAAATAATAAGTAACAAGAGACTCTGGCTAAGAATAGACCAACCAAGAGCCGGTCGCTCACCAAATATGTAGGAGAAAGTGGAGATGGGTCAGGCATACTTTTAGGAGGCCGTCGAATACCACCGCGTGCCAGGCCATCTAGTAGAATCCAAATGAAGGAGACTGTGGGAGGAATATATGAGAGATTATGGGCAACCGTGGACCCAGCTGAAAAGGACGGTGGAAAATAAAACAAAGTGGAGATGTGTTATTGAAGCCCTGTGTTCCAATCTGTCTGTCTGTCTGGACTCAACGTAGAACTTGGCACCGAAGTGCAGCAGTTTGAGTTACCACGTTCCAAATAGCACACAAAGGTAGACAAGAAAATGAGTGAAGAGAATCAATAGAGTTTTGACAGGTATAAGAGTGAAACAGAATGGGTAATGGTAGAAAGGAATATGAAAGATTAAAGAGACTGAATACATCTGCGTAAGCCATTGACAATGATTTTGAGCCATTTCACCAATAGTATCAAGCCACTGATTCTTAGAGTCCCGAAAGCGGGCCACAACCCGGAAGTCTGCATCTCCCTCCCTACCTGACTCAGTTTAACTAACTGTCAAGGATTTCATGGATTGATGAGGCCATGATTTTGTTTGGTATGGCACCACTTACTCTTTTCCAACCTGCACCACCTATATCAGCTAGTAATGCCCGTCGGAGTGGGGGGAGGCGATGGCTAGGCATGCGCACCACGTGACCTAGCCATCTCAATCTATGTAACTTTATACCCTCTTCGATTGATTTTCCCTCTTTGCCCAACACTCTACGCCTAACGTCAACATTACTTTCTTTATTATACCACCTAACGCTTCCACTTGGAACCCAAGGGAATAATACACAATTAAAAATATCCTCCGTGATAATTGGTTGGCTTTTCTTATTCCAGTTTTCGCTTCCAAGGTGTCGCTGAGTTTCCTACTGTGGATCGGTTGATTTTATAGCTTTATGATGGTAATGTCAAACCAGGATATACAGCCACAGATTAACACACTTTAGAATTGGTCCACAAGTCTGATTCAGGAGAGCTTCAAAAATCACAAAGAACCTCTCTAAGCACAGGTACTCCATATTAAATGGAATCCTAATTATCTGAAGAGGAATAACAGAATAAGGCAGCATTTGACCTGGTCCTAACACCTGTACCCTTCTATAAAGTGAAAAAATTATTACAAATACACTTAACCATTTTGATTATGTAAACATATACTACTTTTAGAATTTCATGCATCTAACAGATGTAACAAACGGCACACGATTTATTATCATTTTCAGTGAGCCTACCTGATAACGTAAAAATTACCACATGTCTAATACCCTTGATTTAGCTATTGAATGTAAGGCAGACTTTTATTAATCCTGGTTTCATATCAATTCGATAATGTTACCAGAAATAAAAAGCGTGGCGCAAGCCTCCTATCACCCCCTTTGGGGCTTTAACCGTTCAAAGGGGATAAGCCTGGAATGTCAGAAGACAGCGAATTTAGTAACGGAATATTTATTTAGAAACTGATATCTCTATATAGGGAAATTATGTACACCTTATTTATTATTATTGTTTCCTTTAATTCCTAGAGGAACATAGGGCTTCAGCCGTGCATCTCCATTGCGTTCAGTTCTCTGCTAGAGTCTTCACCTGGCTCCAAGTCTGCCCACATGCTTTCATTTCCTCTTCACATGACCTCCTCCATGTCACCCACACTTGCACTGATGACCAACTCGCTGCCTCCCTTTTGGGTTCCACTCGAGCAATGGCTTGTCTAGTGATGTCACTTGATGGTTTCCTCAGAGTATGGCCAATCCATCTCCATTTCTTCCTGCCTATTTGTTACACAATCGGTTCCTGGTTGGTTCGCTCCCAGAGATCTCTGTTGCTGATCTTTTCTCGCCAACCATCTGATCTTGAGTATTCAGCGAAGACAACTGTTAATGAAGGTCTGTAGTTTGTTTGAGATGCTCTTTATGACGCGCAGTGCAAGTCTCTGATCCATATAGTAGCACTGAATGACTTAATACTGGAGATGCAAATCCGGATCTTATTTTTGATGCTGAATGCTGTTGACATCTCAGGTAGGTAAAGGAGGTTGTTTCTTTCAGGTTCCTCCCATTTATGCTGATTGTTGTCTGTTGTTGTTGCTGTTGGTGGTGTTGCCCAGGAATCTTCATCACCTCTGTTTTCTCTTTGTTCACCTGAAGTCCTATCTTTGATGCTTCTTCTTCTAACTTGTTGCTTTTCACTTGCATATCTTCCAGTTTGTGGGAAATCAGACATATATCATCGGCGAAGTCCTGATTACCGCAGTTAATTTAGACACAGAAACAATTTTAATGTTCTTCCAAGAGGCAAGCCCACTGTTACGGGAAAACGATTCATTGGTAATACCAGTGGGAGGATGACATAAAATGTCGGTACCTTTATTGAGGATAAATGGTGGTACACCATATGGAACAAGGACTGGGTAGTATTCAAGAATTTAAGACACTTCAGGACATCGTTTGTATTAAATCAGTCGACGAGACTCTGAAATTACATCGACTGAGATGGTTGGGACATGTTTTACGTATGTCTAGCCATCGCTTTCCTCGACGGGCAATGTTAGCTGATATAGGGCCAGGCTGGAAAAGAGCTAGCGGTGGTCAAACGAAAACATGGCTACAGTCAATGAAATCCACAACAGTTAGTCTAAGCCACGTAGGAAGATGTAGACTTCCTGGTTGGGGTCCTCAGGATGGTAAAAACCAATGGGTGGAAACAATTGGTGATATAGCTCAAAATCGTTCTCAGTGGCGCAGATGCATCCACTCCTTGTGGCATATGATTTCCAATTAAACTGTTTTGTTCTTCGTTGTTACTATACCTTTGTCTCACACCTCTGTTTACTGTCTCTAATATGCATTTCTCCTACTTTCTTATCTTGCTTTGTGTGCTACATGGAGTGTGGCGACTTGAACTGGTGCACATATGTGCAAAGTTCTATATCGAAAACCGACCGACCGATTAACAGTGGAGAAGTAGTCGTCATTTACACTTGCAGAATTTGGAATCATCACATCTGCTGGACGATATTTGAAGGACTTATTAAGCCTATCAGGATCAAATGAGGAAGGACCATTATTTATCTGCTTATCGCCGTCGATTTACCTAAATAAGTTCCACATGTTTATTGATAACGACTTTTGGTTACAGATCATAGCTGAGAGAACCATTGGAAAACCTAGGAGAACTGAACAGCTGTTTCGTCCTAGTTTGCGGCTCTTCGACAATATGCATCCAGACGCAACTGTTCGAATCTAGGACCTTCTGGTTACAAGGTGAGCTCGTAGACCATTAAGGTATTGGGACCCAATTCAATGGCTCATGAATTCCTACACCCGACCTGCTCTACCCTACTAGTAATGGCTTCCCCCTAGAACCCCAGGTGACTACCTATTTGAAAAGTACTAGTTGCTAGTAAGCATCTCATTGATATTCAAATATTGGTTTGTATGGACTTGATTGATTCGTTACAGCATTTCATCATGAGCTTACATTGGTTAGAGGACAATTCCAAACTAGGACGAAACAGTTGTCCGGTACTCCCAGGTGGTTTTCCAATGATTCTCTAACCGACGTCAGCTCATGATGAAATCCTGTAACCAATCAATCAAATTCCTAAAAACCAGTACTTGAATATTATTAATGCCTTGGGATTGTAGGTGAAACTTATGCCTTCAACGGACCATCTCCACTCCACTCTCCTCTCTGTGGTCTACTTCTTTTAGCTGGCTCAACAATTCACTATAAACTTACATTTTCTCCTCATATGATATCATTCATATCACCCTCGAACCCCATGCCAATCTCATCGTTTCGCATTTGGGTCTCAGTCGAGGTTCTAGCGTGTAACCGTCTCATCAGTGAATGTCTGATGTTTGAAATTCACCTGGAATCATGATTATTATACTTGAAGCATATACGTTACCAATGGATACGAATTGAAAGAAGCATAGAAATGCTAGGTATCTTCATTGGTGCACAACACATAAACTCAACATGTAACATTTGATTTCTCCAAACCTCTGTATTCTGATTGGTTACATTTAATCGACCAATGAAAACTTACTTCGAAAATAATTGTACAATAATACACTATTACTATCATATAAAATTCACTAAGGCCTTGCCGGATCTTTTACTACTGAAAATGCAGTCAGCTTTCATGCAGCAGAACAAATACGTATACTATTAGTGATAAACTGCTGTCAGAAGAAATAAAAACGGGTACATCACATTTCCCTTTTCATTAACAGCCAACGAATATTTTCACACATCACATATTACACACCCTTGAGTAATTTGATTAATAAACAACACATCCACCGTATTTCTTGTTGTTGACTCCGTACAAATGAGTAATATGTTGTGTCTACATAAAAGGAAAATACATATGACTACAATTTATTTTATTTATTTATTCATAAATATTGGATTGTGCTCTCCGGTGAGTTGTAATGACTAGATACACGTTTTTCATTATTACTATTTAACTACTTATATGGGGATTTCAGTAAAATAGTTACATGCTAATAAAGGTTTCTTGTGTTTCCGAATGAATGAAAAATAAAACGATACTGTGGTTGTTTTTACTGACGTTTCGCTATTTAATGCTACTGCTAACAGCTTTACCAAAGTGGTAATATTAAACCAGGAGAATTTACGAAATCTCAGCTTATATATAACAACTTTATCATAGTTCCTCAATACGCGGTAATTCTGTTACCGTTGTCAAATTGCCTAACTGGTAAAGATAACAAAACCAAGTGGATTTGATGACAGACAATAAAGGTTAATAAAGCAGGATTTAATGAATTCATCAAATTTCGGTAGAACTCGTCAGCTGAATACTCTACATACACGGATCTATACTTTTGAAGTTACATTGGGAGATATAGGACTGATAAGTAAATAAACTACATCGAATTAGTCATGCAGAAAGACAGGTGCGAATGTTTTTCCAGGGGAGAGAGAGTATGGGAGATCAAAATTAAGATAAATTGCATTACGCTTCAATTACATCACTTAGATAAACAATTAGACATTAGAGAATTTAACAAGAATTGCAACCAGAGTGATGTCAATAGTAATAGTTATAATAACAATAATAATAGTGTAGAAGTGAGTTAAGATAATGCTACTGATAAAGGATAGTTTTAAATGAATCAAGAATAATAATAATAATGAGAATAATAATAGTAATAATAAAATAATAATAAGAGGTAGAATTATAAGTAAAACGTATTACCATGGCAGATTCAGAGTCACGACCATCTCCTTTTGTACACAGAGACCTGGTTTGTAAACTCGAATTGCACAAGCCTCTGCAATTGCAAGTATCTTCTTGTTTCTTTGTCTGCTGACAATAGTGAATGACTTGACTGCGTCGATATCATGCCCGTGATCCACAAGATGCTTTGTTATTGAGGATTTCGGCACTTTGAACTCAGCTATTTTCAACCATTTTGGCAAATGCTCCATCATGCGAGTAGACAATCGCCTTTGATAAGTACGTAAAAGCAGCGTGTATTTACATAATGAATTTGCTTATCACATTCGTGTTGATTTTATCACTTCATGGGTGTGGGATGTGTGTCTTGTAACCACGTCAAATTCTGTTTTAGTCCATCATTCCTACACAGACAATTTGGATTCCATTTGATGATATGAACTGCTTCTGATGATATCAATCGTTATTTTCGATTTACGAAGATTTTCTGGATGATAATTTCAATATTGTCGAAATCAATTTTGCTACCTGATTCTATAGCGTGTAGACGACCTATGGCTGATGATCTTTCAGGCTTTCAGGCTAGTTCAGCTGGATTTCTCAGTGGTTGATCGAACAGATACTCTACGGTGTTCATTTATTCTGATTTGATTTCTCTCCAGCGATGTTTGTCCGATGTATATTGTGTCACATTTCGAGCTTTTTTTTTATAGACACAATTAGACAGAGCCACAGCTTTTTCACTATAAATTACTTGGATTCTGACTAAACATCGAAATATTTACGGTGGAATAGTGAGTGAATTAAAGTGACCTTGTCTGTGTAGGTCATCCTGTCGGTAAATATTTGTACTAATTGAACAAATTTGATTAGTAATCAGACGTCTGTATTAATACATTATAATAAAATGTATATATCTGTCTATATAAGTGTATACGTGTACCGTTTATTTCATGTACAACGTACTAATTCATAAGTGATAGGTAATTGCGGTCATTTTTTTGAGGCTGAAATACACAATGACGAATAATTTTCAAAAATTAGTCTGTATTTATTTGATCTACTTCAAGTTTGATTGTGGATTGATGTCAGTTAGAGAACTATTGGAAACCCAGCAGGAAATACTGGGCAGCCAGATGTTTCGTCTTGGTTGGGGACTCTTCAATAATACGCATCCACTCACTCCCCTACCAGTGACTTTCAGGTCAAGAGTGTTAAGCTTTTTGACAATCTAGCCACCTGGACGGGACTCCAATGTCCCATGAATTCCAACTTCCGTTTCTTCATGATTTTAAAGCGACTGCCAGTCATTGTTATCGGCACGTATTTGTCCTCACATCTGACCTAGTGAAACCGAGTGGTCATGACTTCTCAATAAAGCTTCAGGGGACTTCGTCCTGCAGGCAGTCACCCAACGGACTCAGATTAATCTTTACCTTTAGTTTTGCTTCATCAGAGTGTACCGGATAGCTGATGCGTTTATTCCTTCCCTCTTATTTGACGCATCCGATATAGTCAAAATATACAAGACTTCAATGTTAAATCTTTTTATAAGACAGCTGAAATCACTACCTGGTGTTTTGACACTGTCAAAGACAATTTGAAGTCAACTTTCTATTGCCTGAATTCATATAGTTCAGGTTATTCCCAGACTCTTTAGTTCTGTTTCATTCCTTTGAGGAGGTTTCGTGCACAGTAAGTCGTTACGCATTAACTCACTTTGATCTCCACCTGTTTACTGCTTCTCCGTATGTGGCAGAGTTTGCATTCATAAGATTTTATCCCATGAACACAGTTGTTATTCTGTTATTTTTGAAAACAAATATTTCAAATTAATTAAAGAAGCCCCTAAAATTAACAATAATAGCTTTATTCTGAACAGTGTTCGTAAAACGTACAGAATTTTCAGCGGAATTTATTCCACGGAATCTCTTCTTTGTCCAGGATCCTCAAATAAAAGATTAATTGACAGTAGATTGGCTGACACAGTTCAATCTGACTTGAAACGTGAACCAATCCATTATGGTATCTCTTCTTTTTCTCTATCGAGAAATACACGACAGTTTGTTGAATGCAAACTACAAAACGTTCAGTAGGACATTTTGTGAACGGAAGACACCAATCAGGAACTGTCATCTGAAATACTGGAAAAAGCTGCCGTTGAGGATAATGCTTTTTCACATATTCAGTGGAAACTTGCAAATCAGCAGGTCGTAGATGTTTCAAATATTCGCCAGAGTAAACAACACCATTAGAAGTCATCTTTTAATAGAATTAAACAAACTGGATATAAGAGAAACTAAATTGAAGGAGGTTTTTAAGTAGCTCAGTTTTTTAAGCAGGCCACTTAGAATAAACCTTAACATCCTTTGCAGCAAACACTCTTTGAACCTGGTCTGCTCTGTCTTTTCGATATGGAATGATACCCGAAATTTTTTAATCTTCTATTTCTTTCTGTTATTTTACTCAGAAATGTTTCCGCATATTCATTCTCAATTGAAACCTATTTTACATTGAAGATCTCATTCTTCAGATCGTCGGTGTCGTTTATAACTTATCTAGCTCTGTTCAGGATATTTACAGTTACTTAAAGTCTCCTACTTATAGGACGATCAGAGAGGAAATTCAAAAATTTTCCTGAATTTTTCGGTGTTTCGTAAACAACAAAAACTTTAATTTTCCATATGTTTGTCTTTCGAGCAAACAATCCAGAAAGTTCGGAGTCCCTACCATCTGATTCGATTTCATTGGTAAATTCTACATGGTATGAAATAAAGTTTATGCGTTTTAGAAATTTTCATTTTGTAACTTTCTTAACGCCTATACCATGCTCTCAGACAACAGTTTAGAACAGTTAGTGCTTTTTTCCTAGATTTTTCAATAAAAACATTAGCTAGAATTAGAGGTCCTGGTGACTCCGCTGCAACTTCATTTGTCTGACAGGATAGGTTGTCTTTTGGAAGTAAAATATGTCGATTTCAAACTAAAATTTCAACATTTAGTGGTGCGAATATCTGGTTAATATTCATTGATTGTTTTCAAGTTTACTTTCCATAATATTAAGTGAATCAAATAAAGGAATTTTTGTTAAGAGTCGGAAAATCACAAACCAAATCCAGGTAGAGAACCACTGAGATTCTAAGAGTGCTTGACAGGTTTTTGGGGGTGGGGCTATTCAGCATTCCACGTCATACCACCTCAGATAGAACCAACGACCTGGAATATAGAAGGCAGACTTGCTGATAATATCACCACTGTGATGGAATCCAGTGTCCCATCAGTTCTGCCTTCTAAAACTTTTCGATACACAGCTTAGATATCAATCAGGGCTTTCATAGTCAACTTGGCTGAGTCTCAGGTTACGACCTTCCCCCACTAGAACTCCAGGTGACATCCTGCAATCAGTCACTAGTGATCCCTTTAAAGATTTTCGAATGTTAGCTGACAGGGATTCAGTTGATCTTCGAGAACCACTAAAAACCAGGGAGTACTAACTCATCCATCCCGTTCTAATTTGGGAATATTCACCGGCACTTACCCGTGATTCTACGCGTTTACTGATAATGCTTCCTGATTTCGTGCTCAAATAACTCCAGGAAATTTGCAACACCGTCTATTGTCTGGATATTTACACTTTCAACCTTTATTTATTTATTTTAAATTTAATCGAATTCAGTAGTTTGATCTGCCCTTCTCTTCACTTTTTTTTCAACATGACATAGCGATGTGTTTTAATTTTTACAAATATCTCAACGGTTTAATAGGTATTAATATATGTGTAAAATTTAGGCACTAAGGTAGTAAGTAATTCCATATTAGTTTGTTTATGGGATATATCACAAAGTGAGCGAAACAGTATTGTTTACTCGGTGACGTTATGAACACAATTTATTGCAGTTCGAAATCATATAACCAATTGCAGCCACAAGACTTCGAAACTTGAGTTTTATGGTTTTCTTTTAATTTTTCGTATTTGTCTTAGTAGGGGTAGTGAAATTTTCCAGATGTCCGGATGGACAGGTGTTGAATTATTCCTATTACACGTAATTGCAGTTGATTCGATAAACAAGGCTTCTGTAATGAATTTCTCCCTACACCATGTTAGTTACATTAGACTTTAAAACTGCCATCTTATCCCATCCCATCTTATTATATGGTTGTGTGTACTTGCATGTATTGAGTGCTGTAGCTGAACTATTCTCCACATTTGTTATCTT